TGTTTGGTGAGATTCTGAATGAGAACATATATATATATATATATGTGTGTGTATGTGTGTGTGTGTATATATATATATATATATATTTTTTTTTTTTTTTTCCTTGAGACCACATTTACTTCAAAAATTAGACTGACTGGACTGAGGCTATCTGCCAGTAATAGGCATTCTCTTCTCTCTCAGCTACATGACTATGTAATAATTGAATACTTTGAAATTAAGCCATGAGTACTGATTCAAACAATTATAACCACATTAATGAGACCACATGACCATCACTCCACTTCAAAGCTACAAAATAGACCCCTTCCATTTCCTTTTCTTTCTTCCTGTCTGCTCAACAAATTGTTTTTTCTCAAACGCCATGTGTTTGGAAAATTCCATCATTTTACCTTCTTACCTGATCATTAGCTCAATGAAGTCTTTCAGCCACAATAAAAAATCCTATAATTAAAATAAAAATTCCTGTATCAGTTTTCAGGCTAAAAGCATATTTCTTTGGGAGTTAGCAAGCAAGTGGGGCTTCCCCAAAGAGTAAGAAAGCATTTTGCCCAAGGATCTGTAGAACAAAAAGAACCTTGGGTATTTTTCCAGAGTAAGAGAGAGGGGAAAGGAGGGAGGGAGAAAGAGAAATCTCAGGAGACCTGGTGCCCAGTGCCTGACTTCTTGGGAAGAACTGAGCTGTTTAGGGGCCTGTAAGGAGGGAACTGGTATCTGAGCCAGGACATGGCCATCAGTGGAAGAAGATGGGTCACCCCACACAGATATGTTTTTAACTCAAAACTATAATAATCTTAAGATCCTTGAGCCTTAGCTTTGAAAGCATTTATGAAATGCAAATGTCTTCAGAGAATATCTAATTCGACTTCTTTCTTTTCACTTTTAGGGTCAAAAGACCTAGGGAGGGTAAGGGACTCATTTAAAGGCATATATGTAGCAAAGTAGTGACAGAGCCAGGACAAGAAGCCATGGTTTAGTACCATTTAGTGCCAATTTACATTGTGTACACAGTACACCCACTTCCCTCTGTCTCCCCAGCCCTCTACCTTTCCAACAGAATCGTCTGCAGTGTCTCTCTGCTTGCATACCTCCAGTGTTAGGGAGCTCATGACATTCCAAGAAAGCCCATTCTGTTCCTTTTTCAGGCAACTCTTTTAAAAAGTTCCTAGAGTAAGCCAAGATCTGCCTCTCCTTAACTGACACTCTGGTTCTAGGTTGGCCCTCAACTCAGCTCCCTCCGCCCCAGAACAGACTGCAGTCTCCATGAGTGCCTCTGTCTCTGGACCAAACAGCATGATTTCTTGCAATTCTGTCTTTTTTTTCAGCCTATTTTAGAAGCCGAGAGGAGATTTATCTTCTAGATATATAATTAGCTTCAAACCACAGTGGCTAGATGGGAACACAAATCTTATGTATCAATTTGGCTGGGCCAAAGTACCCAGACACTTGGTCAAACATGTGTTAGTGTTGCTATGAAGATGTTTTTTAGATGAGATTGACATTTTAATAAGTAGACTTTGAGTAAAGCAGATTACCCTCCATAATGTGAGTGGGCCTCATCCAATCAGTTGAAGGCCTTAAGAAAAAAGATTGATGACCTAGATGAAGAGGGAATTCTGCCAGCAGATAGCCTTTGGACTCAAGCTGCAACACTGTCTCTTCTCTGGGTCTCCAGCCCGCTGGCTTGCCCTATAGATTTTGGAGTCGTTGGCCTCTACAATCATGTGAGCCAATTCCTTTAAATCACTCTCTCTCTCAAGCTCTTCACACACATACACAATTGGTTCTCTTTTTTTGGAAAACCATGACTAATACAAGTTTTCAAGCATACAACTGCCTTTAGGCACAACACCAGAGCTAGAAAGAGAAGAGCTGGTTGACCTCTCATCTTCCTCTTAGCCATCTTATCATTCATTTATTCAACAAATGGAGCATTTACTCTGCATCAGGTACTGGTGATAGAAAGGAAAATAGTGCAACTGGAGTTCTGAACTTAAGGCCCTGATGAAATCAGACCCTGCCCCAAATTGTTAGTGCAGAGTGGCACAGAATTTATGCTCCGTAGGCAGATAGTCCTATTCTGGCTTCGACAATTGCCAGCTGGTGAACTTGGGAAGTCACTCAAGGTCTCTGAACCTCAGTTTCATTTCCTCATCTGTAAAAAGAGGCATTTGGACTGAATGACCTTTAATTTTCTCTTCAATTTTGGACATGCTCAAGGCCTGAGCTGTTTTTCAGAAGAGTAAGACTGAAGAACACTGGACTGACTACTTGTGGGTGCCAAGATGGGGACGGGGAGTCCTGTTCACTGGGTGGCGGATCACCGAGGAGGGCAGGAGATCACAGAGTTAGCATTGTCCTGTGTGGAAGTTGGGCATAGGACACTGAGCTTTAATGGGCCATCGATCACCTTGGATTGGACCATTTCACTGTCACCGCAAAATAAACTGGACGCTCAGAGGCATGTTACAGCAGACAAACAACTAGCTTCACGCTGGTCCTCTAAGTCGATCCTCACACCAGGGCTGGGAGACAGGCGTTATCCTCACTTTACAGAGAATGAAACAGCGAGGGCCGATCCTCACACCAGGGCTGGGAGACAGGCGTTAGTTATCCTCACTTTACAGAGAATGAAACAGCGAGGAGAAGCCTGTTGTTAAGGATGCTACTACACTCACTATTACAAAGCCGGGGCTCCCTGTCCAGCTCCTCCACCCAAAACCATTGGCTAGACTCTCCTGCGTAGACTGCAGCCGGGAAGGCTCTTGGGGGACACATTTTAGGTCAGCCCCTCGGTTTATAACACAGAGAGGGGAGCCCCGGGACGGGAGAAGTGCTTGTCCAGGGCCACGCCGCGAGTGAGTGACAAGGCTGCTAGGGGATTCCGCGGCTCCTCGGTCCTTTCCCCGGCTGGCTCCTCACTCACCCGCGGCCCTCGGGGAGCTGGGGGAGGAGCCGAACCGGGTGGCGGCGGCCGGGGGCGGTCCCTGGCGGCCGCGCATTCCAGAGCCACCGGATCGGATCGGCGTGCCTGGTGCCCAGACGCGACTGCGAGCTCTTCGGAGGAGCCGGGCACGTTCTGGGGCGAGATTCCAGGGTTGGGGGCCGCCTCCTGCTGCCGGAGCCAGTGCCTGGGGACTTGGAGCGGTCTCTGTCCCCGGAACTTTCCGCAGACCCGGCGCTTTCTGGCTGCGGCGGTGGCCGCGCGTTTTAAAAGCAGCTCTCCGCGGATCCGGGGTGAGTGGGGCCATCGGTGTCGCGCGCGAGGCTCCGGTCCTCGCGCCGCCATCTACTCCAGTGCCCTCCCAACTCTTTTCTTCATTTCTCCCTTTCATCACTTTGGCACTTCCCGTTTCTTCTTTTTTTCAACCCTTACACGTTCGCGCCGTCTACACGCGATCTTGGGCCTCTGGGAAGCTGGCCCCACAGGAGACAGGCTTCTGTCCGGCTGTCAGTCCTGCTCTTCTCGAAGCCCGTCTTAGAAGGCGCCCGAAGTTTGGAGTCAGGGGAGGTGGGTCCCAGCCCTGGTCTGGCACTAGCGCTTTCTCCATCCGATCTCCTAGCCGTGTTTCTCCATCTGTGACATGGAGAAAATAGCCTTTGTCTACAGAAATCAGATGAGAAAGGGGTGTGCCAGGTGTCCTTCCAGGCTCCCTTCTCTCCTCTTTCCGCCTCTTTACTGAGGACTTGGCTGTTCCGGTTGCTGGTTCTCTTGCACCCGGGTCCCCTCTACAAATTCCTTGAGGGTAGGGACTGTCTCTCTCCCCTGTCTCTGAGCCATCCTCAGCACTTGGCCGGGGCCTGGCGCTAGCCCCTGTTTACTAAGTGAAAGAATGAGAGATTTGAACCATTCAAACCTGTATAACTGTCGGAGGTTCTTATTTTGATTTGAGTGGCCAGACTGGGCTCTTATTCCCGCATCTCCACTTGTTTCTTCCTAACAGCACTGGTCCTGTTGCTCAGACCCTGGGGCTCATTCGAATCTCCTGTGTCTGTAGAGTACTCAAAGCTCTGGGCTGTAGTGACAGCTGCTCAGTCATTCAGTATCAGAGATTTCTTGTACACTAGCTATGATCTGGGCTACCGCTGCAGGGGGTGAGCAGTCAGGAGGGGTTGTGAATGCCTGAATGTGGGGGGCGGGGGGTGCGGTTCCCTGGGAGTCAGCAGACACTCTGAGTTACTTTGATGGGGGCATGTCCACTGTTCAGACCCTACCTCCCTATCCGTGAAATGAGGAAGCGGGGATTAAGCAGATGGGTGTCCGTGGCTGAACATTCTCTGGGTTCTGCAGTCCACTCGGCAATCCTCTGAGCACATCCGAGACAGCCCAGCTGAGCTTTGGGACATCACATACATCTGCAGTAACAACCAAAAAAAAAAACTCCTGTTTCTAGCTGTTGCGGGGTTGTGAATCATACTATGGAGATTCCTAGTTACGCCACCAAATCTTCCAAACTCTGACCTCTTGGGGAGTCAGGACTGTGGGGAATCCCCCTTCTGGCACAGCCTAAGAATCACTGAGCTGTGGTGAGGTGTTGGAGACATGACACAAATTAGAGACTCAGGGTTCTGACGTGGTCAGGTCAAATAGCCCAGGGGTGACAGACTGAGGGGTAAAGAGGCCATAACAGTCTCAGATGTTTTCTCAACCATATTCTGATCCTTCTTTAAAAAAACGCGCTGTTTCTTCTCCATGGGTTAAACATACAAAGGAATTATCTCTGAGCAAAGAAGATCTTTATCTGAGCAGTTGGCTGTGGTATCAAAACCAGACACATGTACGCACATTCACAGTTTATAGGAGTGGCTGTTGGGATTACCACATTCTGCAGAACCCCACTCTGATTGGCCAGGTAAGCTGAATAACATAAGAATAATCATACTTGACATGTATTAATTTGTTTAGTCTTTACCTCAATCATATGAGGTACGGACCATCATTACGTCCATTTTGTCGATGAGGGAAGTGAGGTCCAGAGAGAAAAAGCAACTCAGCCATGGTCACAGAGGAAGTAAGTGGCAGAGCTGCAATTTGAACCCAGGCAGTTTGGCTCCAGGGCCCATGCTCTGAATCTCATCGGAGTTGGAGGGATCTGGGGTCAGATCTTGCCCCTGTCACTTACTTGAAGGGTGACCTAGAGGAAGTTAGATGAGAATTCGACAGCCATTGGACTAGTGAATCACTAGGGACCCTAGTACCCTTCCAACTCACTGGAGAAACAGAAGATGAATGCCAAGTGGGGATGGTGTACATTCAGAAGTAAAGGCTAGGAGTGAGGTAGCCAGGAAGGGGAACAGGTCGGAGTTATAACCACCCGGCACATTACACAACAGCAAACCAGATTCAGTACTAAACCGTGTACTTTAATTTCCCTAGTTGTGTACAGATATAACTTCATTATTTTATGGATTTGGACCTCTGAGTGGGCATGCGAATTGAATGACACATGGCGTAGGATTAGGGGAAATGGAGTGGGGAGAAGGAAAGACAGAGAAAACTAAACTGGGTTTCAATTAACGGGGATGCATGTCTGGCACACGTCACTGCTCCTAATCCCCTGCCCCAGGCAGATGTTAATAAACAGGCACCTAGCCTCCACAAGGCCAGGGAATCCTCCTCAACTCAGTGCTCTAGATAGCCTCTATGAGTTGATTGTGAAATTTTATCTTGCTCTCCCAGACTTCTCATTTCAATCCTCTGGGGTATGGTCAATGAAGTACTAAATGGCAAAACGGAGACCTTGCTTTCTGAGCACCCTAGTGGCATCTTAGGAAACACCTTGGGGCTTTTTAAAGATTAATCTTCTCTTCCCTTCACTCCTATGTATATTTTTAATGGTCTTCAATCCAGGAATGTTCTGGACCTGAGGCAGGGTTCCAGGGGACATCAGGAGAGCAGAGTCAGTCTTTGAGAGCTGGCCGGACCCTTAGAGACCACCTCGTCCATCCTCTCCAACTGACTGACGGGAGACTGAGGCCCAGTAGGAAAGGAGGAGTTACTCAGGATCACACAGTGTCTTCATTTTCTAAGGCTATCACAAATTACCACAAATTTAATGGCTTAAATATTAAACTTATTATATTACAGTTACATAGGTTGGGAGTCTGGTATGGGTCTCCCTAGGATAAAATCAAGGCATCATTAGGCTGCATTTCTTTTGGAGTTTTTAAGGGAGAATCAGTTCTCCCTGCTTTTTTGAGCTGTTGGCAGAATTCAGTTCCTGTGGTTGTAGGACCAAGGTCATGGTTTTCTTGTTGGCTGTAAGCTGAAGGCCATTCCCTGCTTCTAGAGGCCATTGCATTCCTTGGCTCAGAGCCCCCTTTTTCTATCTTCCAAGCAAGCAACAACAAGTCATGCCCTTCTCATGTCGAATCTCTCTGATGCACTCTTGTGATTAGATTGGGCCCACCTGAATAATCCAGGATCATCTCCCCCTCCCCAGAGTCCTCAACTTTAATCCTTTAATCAGATCTGCAAAGTCCCTTTTGCCTCTGTTCTCTTGATCCCGCCCTCCGAGTCACGTTTTTTCATATTTGAGGTTCCGGGGACCGGGACATGGACATCTTCGAGGGGCCATTATTCCACTTACCATGCACAGCGAGTCGGGATGAGTGCCACTCGGGTGACCTTGCAACTCTGTCACTGAACCCCCAATAGGCCTCTCATGGAGAGTCTCCTTTATCAGGCCAGCACACAGCAGGCACTTAGTCACCGGCAAATAACAATGATGGATGGTAGAGGTTTAAACAGGATGCTGTGGATTTGGCCTGGGTTCCTCTGCTGGCTCCCTGTTGGTTTCTAAAACTCTGTAATTGGCTGGGTCAGATGGTACGTGCAGTCTTGAACAGCTCTGGCTGCTTTCTGATCTCTTTGAAATATCCTGGTGTTTTTCCATTTTTCCAGCCACAGAGGAGCAGACAGAAACTCAGGCTGAGAACAAGTCTTTAGACAGTTAAGAATTTTGGAGGAGACAGAAGCCAATTGGGATAAAACGAGAACAGAGTGCTCCTCAGGGACCTCGGATCATCGGAGAAATGGTTCCGATTTGATTCATTTCACAGTTTTGATAGTCGTGTGTCCTGCCTGTTCCTTCCTCTGGCCCCTTTCTTTGGAACAGAAGTCCTTGGTGAAATCGACTCTGTGCTGGGTTGGTAAATGCTTGAAGCTAACTTGTCCAGAATTGGGAGAACTATTTCCGAGAGTAAATGTGAGTTGGGTGGCCTTTTCACACTGAACTTGGCATGGGAAGTCCCCTCTCCTTTTTATCAGCCTCCCTGTCCTCTTCTAAGAACAGAAAAAGAAAGGTTCATACTCTGGGCAGCAACTCCTGCACCCCTCTACGTACCTCAGTGCTCTGATCCTGAGCATAGGGAGTCGAAACTCAGATTTAAGCTCACCAGCCCAAGACAGTCAGCAAGAGGAAACCCGAGAGAGCATTATTCTGAAAGGCCAGGCCTCTTCTGCCTGTTACATACGGGGTACGCTAGAAATGAAAGAGGTCCCCATCATCCTTCCTGGATGTACAGAGAGCCCAGAAAATGACCAGATAAGAGGATGTCATTTTATTTTACAGATAGGGTTCTGACTTTTAGGGTCATTGGACTTTCTGCAGGGGTGAGGATTCTTTCTGGACCTTTACCAATAAGTTCCGGAAGTTGAGCTCAAATCTGAAGTTCCCCAGTCTGCCCATATTCATTCCTTCACCAGTCTCACATTTATTGGGCATTTACTGTGTGCCAGAGCCTGTAATAGGAGCTGAGGATACGGCAGTGAACGAGAGCTGAGGCTTCTTTCTGCCCTCCTTATGCTTGCATTTGAGCAGGAAAAGATGGCCCAGACAAACAAATAATCAAGCAAAGAGACAAGTTAATTTTAGATTGGGGAAAGTGGGTGGAGACAATAAATTATTACAAGGTATGAGATAGAGAATGGCTGGTGGATGAGGGCGGGTCTAGAAAGGCTTTTCCAAAGAGGTGACATTTAAGTTGAGATCATGGACATTGAGACACTGGATGTTGAAAAGGAAGATTTAGAGGAAGAGCATTCTAAGACGAGGGTGCAGCAATCACAAAAAGTCTTAAAGCGGGACCAGGACTTGGGACATAGATCATTAGGTACCCCAGGCTACTAGGTAGCCAATGGGGTTCCTTCTTGGTACTTGAGTTACCTTCTCTGTCTGGCCTAAATATTTTATTCTTCTTTAACAATCTCACCAGCCCCTTCCGAGGGTAGAGCTTCATAAGTGTCCTGTAAGCTGTGTGATGCTAGTAATCCCCCAAGTCTACTGCCCTGGGAACCATCAGCCTCGTTGTTCACTTTCTGCAGGAGACTTGAAGAGATGCCCCAGCATCGGTGACTAAGAGCTGGTTCTAGCTGCCTCCTTTCTGGCCCCTGTGTCTGGTGGAAATGAAAAGGCCAATGCACTAACTGCTCAGAGCTCTGGCAGTGCTGGACCAAAGCCACACCTACAGGAAGCCACCTGCCTCTATCTGCCTTTTCTCCCACTTTTGGATAATTAAGCTTGCCTGCCAGCAGGAAGTCATTTCTTTTATTGCCTTCTTCCTCTGTGAACTCCTTGGCTGTAAAACCAGTTGGATAACCATTGGCAAGCTCTGAAAAGTTAACTGTTAGCTGCAATTCAGATGTGCAGGGTGTGTGTTTCCGGTGGAAGGTCGAAGCTGGGTCAGATTACCAAAGGCTATTTGTTTATGAAACTTTTCACACCTCCAATAAGGGTGAAAAGCAAGATCAGATTCAGAGTAGCTATGGCACCCGAACTAATGGTGGGGCCTCTAAACGCTTTGAATTTAGGAGCGGTACTGTATTCACTACTAGCTCAGTTGAATAAATATGAAGCACTTACTGTGTACCAGGCATTGTCCTAAGTAAGTGCTTTACGTGCATTAGCTCATTCAACTTCCATGGTATCCCAATGAAAAAGTTACTATCATTAGTTATTATTATTCTCATTTTACAAACGAAACTGGAGCTTAAAGAAGTAAGCTTCTTGCCAAAGCCACCAGGACTATATATGCTCCCAACACACGTGTAGCTTATCACTTCTGGGCTTTGTTGAGGATGTCTATTCTGCTCATCCTGCCTTTCCCCTCATTTCTTCCTTTTGAACTCCTACTTACTCTCAAAGCCCATATCCAAAGCCCCTCTTCTTTGTAAAGCCTTCCATTTTACTTAGACAAAAACAAAGGAATGAGGATTAATATCTTTTCAGCCTCTATTATGTTCCAAGATTCTACACATTTTGTCTCACTTTATGCTCACAATAAGATGGCATAATACAGTGCTTTTAGTGTCCCTATTTTACAGATGAGAAGACAGGCTTAGAGACTTTAAATAACTTGTCCAAAGTCACACCTCCAATAAGGGTGAAAAGCAGGACTCAAATCAAGATCCTCTGCAGTCTACACACTTTCTACCACTTTCCTCTTCTCCGTAGCATGTGGTTTATACCTTCAGTGCAGCGATTCTTTGCCTTGTCTTATAATTAATGTCTTTTCCTCCAGAAGAGAGTGAGCTTCTTCTCTCTGTCTCTGCATCCACTCCTGGATCCCCAGTATTAATCACAGTGACCTAAATGTTTACCAAATTAGACAGGATGGTTAATCTATGAGTTTCATGCTTAGATTGGAGGGATAGGTCAGGTAAATCAAGCATGCTGCTGGTTGATTAAAAAAATCATTAATATAGATTAATCATCTATCATCTTTATTGATAAAGATACGGTCCAAGTTAGGGATGCTAACAAACTCTAGCCGATGGAGGGGAGGATATCTGCATAGGTCAATGAGTCCCTACATACGGCCAGGAATTATTAATCATAGAACAAACATTCACAGAGTGCTGACTGTGTGTTTAGAATGCTGCTAAAGAAATACTATGTGTGATGCCCCCATGGAATTCTCCTCACCCTATGGGGCAGATACTATTATTTGCCTACTTTTGTTTTCAGCTGAGGAAATGGAAGCATTAGGAAATTTAAGTAACTTATTCAAGCTTGGTCAGCTAGAAAGTGGTGGAGCCACATTTAAATCCAAGCTGCCTGGCATCCCAGCCTGGGCTCTGAACACTACTCCGTAGTGTAAGTGTAAAGGAAAGACTGCCCTGCTGCTTACCAGGATTCCCTCCAC